ATTGTGATATCTTGTTCGAGTATATTAAATCATACAAAAGTTCAACTATCATATTGTTTCTCATTAATGAAATGTAATCCCTCCCCCTCCCCCCTCCCCCACCCACCCTCACCCCATAACTAATTTATTACTATTATATTGTTCACAATTTAAAATCATTAAATTGTTGGTACTGGTTTTTATTAGCATATCATTTAGCTTAATATAATCATTAAATAATTTTTCTAATTAATATAAAACATATATATTTATTGTGTTTACTCGTGATTTTTTAATTTTATTTTAGTGTTCACACCTCTCTAATTTAAAGTTTTATGGACAATAATATGTATATTATTGAACTATTTTATTGTACTCTCAAAATTATTCAAAATATTCTCCCCACCCCTCTTCCCCCTTCTTTTTTTACTGTATTTTTATTACTTTTCGCTAATCTAATTTGAATGATTTTTTTATGTTACACGTCAGAAGCACTTGAGTGTTTTTTTATTTCAATATATAGAATACTAAGCTTAAATTTGTTACTTAAATTCTATATTTTAATGTTTCATTATTCATTGAGATTTTAGTGATATGATATATAGATTTTAAGTCTTTTCTCGTTATAATTGAAAAAATATTTTCTCATCTAAAAGCCCTTCAACTTTTTTTACATTATAATTTATAATTTGTTTCCTAGTTTTGTCCTAACTTAATAGTTATTGTATTATTCATAAATTAGTATCCTTACATTAGTATGTAAGATTTTAATAGCTTGTAACTTTATCTAATATTCTTATGGTGCGTAAGATATTAATAAGAATATCAGTTAGTTATATCTATTTACATTTTATAATGGATAAATTTTTACAACATGAAATTAAAATTGATAAAATTCACTAATAAAGTTAGTGATCAATAACTTTAAAAAAAATAGAGGAGTAATCTTAACATTATAAATCATTGTAGAAGTATATGTAAGAGGAGCAAAGAAAGTAAAACTCCATTACAAATCAAATTGTACTTAAGTTTGAATTCAAATATCATTTTAATTTTTTTTTTAAATCTTTTTATCGCTTATCTCTATCCTTGATTTTATTAATACAATAATATTTTTTATAAGCTATATATTTGAATGGAGAGAAATATTTGGAATTAATAAGATAGTTGATGATTAAATTGACTAAAGGGTCACTTGGTGTAGTTATACCAAAGAATTATTTGAAGAAGAAAAAACAGATATGACTAAAATGACAGCATTCATAATTTCACAAGTTAAAAATATACCTTTGCACTCTCAGCAAGACAAAAACACTAATTATTTATATAGAACTTAATATATATATATATATAAACTTAAAAGTGGAAATTCCTATCTTGAAAGTTGGATTATAATTGTGCTCCTACATCATATTAAAATATAATGAGAATATCTATAATCATATCACTAGTATGATACAATAAATTTATTTCAAATTAACTGTTCATGATAAACACATTTATTTTATAGCTTTACTCTATTTTAATACCTAAAAAAATTGTTATAAACATGAGTAAATGTGTATCGTTCAGATCTTGGTCATAGTTCAAGGGTACTATATAAAATGCGCAAAATACAATATATATATCAACAATACGACATTCAATAAAGATCACAAACGTCATGTAGTGATATATTTGTCTTTTCAATTAGAAAATGTTAAACAACTCACATTTCAAATATTATATTTATTTGTATTGAATTTATTTAACAAATTGTTACGACCTGATTTCGAAAACTAAGGTCTCGAAGCCAATTTCACAACTTTGGCAATTTTGTTGAGTTTTTGAAAAATTTATAATTTGGAAGTCGCCACTTAGTTTTTTAGGAAAAATTAAGAAAACCATTTAAAACAGGAATATTTGAAAGAAAACATATTAAATAAAATCAGAGTCGGGTAAGGGTTCAAATAATTCTCTAAGGAAGGGTTTAGGCATCTTAGAGAATCCGCTGATTCGCGGTTGACCGACGGATTTAAAAGTTGGCTAATTTTAAAAGAAAACTTAAATTACTTGAAAAAATCTTATTTGAAACTTAGAAAATCTTTTGATATTTCTAAAAAATCTCAAGAATAATCTTAACTTAGCTAGCGTTTGGCCATAGATTTCCAAATATATTTGGCAAATATTATTTGGGTGAAGATTTGGGTGAAATTTCACCATGTGTTTGGCCATAGTATTTGGGAAATATATTTCAATTTTTTAAGAAATATGACTTATGCCCATAAGTTTTTAAAACTATCAAAACTAACCATAAATTTGTATTACATAGCAAAATAGAAATGTCGCGTAACAAGATTCATGACTTCCGCAACAAATCAAAAAGCATCATTACAGTAAATAGTCGCATCGTTAAAAAAGACTAGTACAAATCATGATAATGAAAATACAACTAATATGAATTTGAAAAAGAAGAAGAAAACAGAAGGAAATAAATATTGCAATGTATGCTCTTGTACATGTATGCTCTTTATAATAGAAAAATTTATTAATTGAGTTAGTTAGCAAATGGAGATTTGATTGAGTTGGTTGGTGTTAATAAATAAAGTGTTTTTGTAAAAGATAAAAGTTTGGTGTTAAATTTGAATTTTTAAAACTTTCCAAATAATGAGATTTGGCCCAAATACTAGAAAAAACTAGTATTTGGGAATTTGGGTTATTTGCCAAAAAAAATTGCCAAATAATGAGAAAGTGTATGGACAAACAATATTTGCCAAATTTTTTCCCAAGTTTTACTTGGGAAATCTATGGCCAAACGGGCCCTTAAAACTTCTATCCATTGTCAAGTTTTGAATCATACAATTAATTCAAACTTATAAACATGGATTAAAAGACTTTGTTTAATAACTACGAAAGGATATAGAAAATCCTTAAGTCATTCTTATAAAGTCCTAAGTTAACTTTAAAGACAACTAATTTAGTTTTAAAAAAAACTTAGCAATTTTATCCTATTCAAAAATTTGAACTAAATAGTTAGTTCAAACTCATAAACATGGATTCAAAGCTTTTCAATAACTATGAAAGAACATGAAAAGTTCTTAAGTTATTCTAAGGGATAAGGATCTAAAAAATACCTCAACTTTGGTCGAATTTGCTGTTGCAATACTAAACTTTCATGAGGACCTATTACCTCCCTAGACTATTTAATACTGTATTTTAAACATACATATTTGCCCACGTGGACATAAAAAATAATGCAAAATTATAAATAGTAATGTGTCCACGTGTGCACATATATACCTTTAAAATACACTATTAAATAGTTCAGGGGGTAAAAAATACACTATTAAATAGTCTAGGGAGGTAATAGGTCCTCATGAAAGTTTAGTATCGCAACAGCAAATTTGACCAAAGTTGAGGATTGGGTTGTTTGGTATAAAAATGCTATATTGAGCTTGTTGGAGTCTTTGGATTTTAAAAATTGCTTCTTTCAAATATATATTTGTCCTCCTAGTTTAAGATATAAGATGCATATGCTTGACATGAAAATTGCATTTTAGATTGGATTAATAAGTTAGGTTTTCTGGAAAAGACATATTTTCAAGTCTCAATTAGATTAATTGTTGTGGTCTGTTTACTGCCTCTCTTAGATACTTTCCATTTCTTTGAAATGTTGGAATTTGTTAAGCTTTCCCAGCAACTCATGTTGTGTGAACTCATGTTTCAAATTACATTTCCTCTCACTTTCTATGTGTTAAATATATTAAGATAGATAGATATATGTATGTTTAGTGTTCTTGCTCTTCTTAGATGGTTACCTTAACTTTTTTTTAGGTACTCTTAAGTGTTATGGTAAAAATTCAATTGTCCTTTTCCTTATCTAATATTTTGATATTCTTATCGCTTAAGTATGTGTTTGGAATTTATGATTGTGTTGTTTCTTGGTTTGAATGTGGAAGAATTGTGTTAGGTTTGGAAATTAATTGTCTTTGTTTGTTTCTGTTGGTTTCTTCCATTGTTTGACTTATGTAAATTGCATTATTATGTATTGTTTGAGTTTGTTTATGTTAATTTGCTAATCTTTTATTCCTTTATTTCTTGGTGCATGAACACTCTCTCGTTGAGTCCAATTTGGACTCCCATCTCATGCATTTTCCTCTCTTCGAGTCCTCCTCCAAGTCGTGAAAGAGAAGTTATTTTTATTGGGTTAAAAATTCAATAAATGAGGCAGATTGCAGCGGTCCTAAAGGGCTGAAACTTGAGTATTTTGGACTTAAAAGCTTGGTAAAATGACCAGCAGCAGTAGAGACCTCAAAAAGGCCGAAAAAGGAGAAACAAAATTGGGTTAAAACCCCTAAAGGATCAAGAGGCAACACAACAATTTCAGCCCCGAAATGATCGAATGTGGGCTGGAATTTCCAGTTTTTGACTCACTGTTCATGTTACTTCCTCTTATTATTTTATTTGTGATGGCTAACATTTTCTTAATCTAGATGAAATTCCCATGGATCTCTTCGAGTTTATTTTTATCAAAGTTTTCTTTATTATAATTGGTAGCATTTCAAATTTTCAAATTCCCAAAACTCATTTTAAGTTATGCAATTTAAGCTTATTAGAATAAGGGATAAGGGTATGAAAAATACCTTAACTTTGGTCGAATTTGCTGTTGCGATACTAAACTTTCATGAGGACCTATTACCTCCCTAGACTATTTAATACTGTATTTTAAACATACATATTTGCCCACGTGGACATAAAAAATAATGCAAAATTATAAATAGTAATGTGTCCACGTGTGCACATATATACCTTTAAAATACACTATTAAATAGTTCAGGGGGTAAAAAATACACTATTAAATAGTCTAGGGAGGTAATAGGTCCTCATGAAAGTTTAGTATCGCAACAGCAAATTCGACCAAAGTTAAGGTATTTTTCATACCCTTATCCCTTATTCTAATAAGCTTAAATTGCATAACTTAAAATGAGTTTTGGGAATTTGAAAATTTGAAATGCTACCAATTATAATAAAGAAAACTTTGATAAAAATAAACTCGAAGAGATCCATGGGAATTTCATCTAGATTAAGAAAATGTTAGCCATCACAAATAAAATAATAAGAGGAAGTAACATGAACAGTGAGTCAAAAACTGGAAATTCCAGCCCACATTCGATCATTTCGGGGCTGAAATTGTTGTGTTGCCTCTTGATCCTTTAGGGGTTTTAACCCAATTTTGTTTCTCCTTTTTCGGCCTTTTTGAGGTCTCTACTGCTGCTGGTCATTTTACCAAGCTTTTAAGTCCAAAATACTCAAGTTTCAGCCCTTTAGGACCGCTGCAATCTGCCTCATTTATTGAATTTTTAACCCAATAAAAATAACTTCTCTTTCACGACTTGGAGGAGGACTCGAAGAGAGGAAAATGCATGAGATGGGAGTCCAAATTGGACTCAACGAGAGAGTGTTCATGCACCAAGAAATAAAGGAATAAAAGATTAGCAAATTAACATAAACAAACTCAAACAATACATAATAATGCAATTTACATAAGTCAAACAATGGAAGAAACCAACAGAAACAAACAAAGACAATTAATTTCCAAACCTAACACAATTCTTCCACATTCAAACCAAGAAACAACACAATCATAAATTCCAAACACATACTTAAGCGATAAGAATATCAAAATATTAGATAAGGAAAAGGACAATTGAATTTTTACCATAACACTTAAGAGTACCTAAAAAAAAGTTAAGGTAACCATCTAAGAAGAGCAAGAACACTAAACATACATATATCTATCTATCTTAATATATTTAACACATAGAAAGTGAGAGGAAATGTAATTTGAAACATGAGTTCACACAACATGAGTTGCTGGGAAAGCTTAACAAATTCCAACATTTCAAAGAAATGGAAAGTATCTAAGAGAGGCAGTAAACAGACCACAACAATTAATCTAATTGAGACTTGAAAATATGTCTTTTCCAGAAAACCTAACTTATTAATCCAATCTAAAATGCAATTTTCATGTCAAGCATATGCATCTTATATCTTAAACTAGGAGGACAAATATATATTTGAAAGAAGCAATTTTTAAAATCCAAAGACTCCAACAAGCTCAATATAGCATTTTTATACCAAACAACCCAATGGCGAAGAGTATACAACTTATATTTCTAATTATATGCATTCAAAAGAGGGTAAATGGAAGGAAGGAAACCATCCGTAATTATATCGATCAGCAACTATATAACATGGATTTCAAAGTTGAATAAGAATTAAGTTAACTAGAAGCACATATTTCACATAGATTTACGAACTCGGCTAAGCGAAGGAATCATCTACACATTTTCTCAAGTATATGGAAATAACCATGAAGGAAATATAAAATAGGCGAGTTCAAATAAGTAACTTGAACAAGATCATACTTCATAAGAAAACAGAAAATAAACTAGCACACCATATATGATACTCGAAAAAAATAAAAAAACATACCTAGCCATCAAGACACATAATAGAAATAAGCAATGGCCATAATGAAACGCCCTAAACAAATTTACTTGCTGAACAAATAAGAGCTAAACTTGGCTAATCTACAAGATTAAACTTGGCTAATCTACAAGATTATAGGAAATACCCAAAACTGAAAATGACAGGATATTAGGAAGAGAAAACTAACTAAGCCAAAATTAATTTTTGCTCGGAATAAACAACAACAACAACAACAAAAGAACACTTCAGATAATGAGGAAAATAACAATTTATTTTTCTATGCTAAAGCAGCTAATACCAAACATGATTACAACGAGCAAAACATAATTGAGAGCGCACGAAACATTGAAATAAAGAGAAGATTACCTGGTTCTGGGCAGCGAACCGGACGTCAAGTTTGACGGAGACGACCACCACCTCCTTCAACTCAAACAACCACAAAAGCTACAAAATTTGAACTATTGAACCAAGAATTCCCAAAACATTTAGGGTACTCTTTGGTCTCCAAAAAAAATCCTCCTGAACAGTGAAGAGAGAAGGGCTTATATAGGACAATTTCTGAGTCGAAATTGAGGGGGAAAATGATGTGGGACTACTGTAAATTTTGAAATTCTTAGAGGATAAGGTGTGAGCTGTAATGTACCATTCTCAACGGAAAAACTGACGAGGGCCGCTTGATTTTGAACAAGGACGAGCGAGGCGTCAAGATGCAAACACCTGGCTTCGTACGAGGATATTTCTGTACGAGAGGATAAGGAGAGAGCACGCACTGCTGCTGGGTTCGCTATTTGCTGTTGGTTCGCGTTTGGTACACGTTTTCTGGGTTTGGGTCGCAATTCAGGAGAAGAAGACGCGTGAAGGTGTCGTTCTGGGTATTGTACGCGTATGTACTGCTGTACTGTTCTTTTGCTGAAATAAAAGGGGTCGGGTCGGGTTGATTTGTACGCATCTGGGTATTTTGGTATAGAACGTTGTATTGTCGGTTGTTGGGTTGAATTAGTATGTTGATGGGTCTTCTGGAATTGAATTGGATTTGGTCATTGGGAATTAGGAATGGAAAACTTGGGCTCAAACACAACTAATTGATAGGCTGAATACTAAAGTCCAAATTGAAATTTAAAAAGAATGAAGAGTTTGGTCCCTGAGTCTTGAAAATGACAAGGATGACAAAATTTGAAACTAAATAAATTATGTATCTAATAAATTAAAAAGCTTCTTGAATTTTTTACAAATGTGAAATAATTAACTAATTATCGAAAATAATACCAATTGCAACACTAATTAAAATTTTGATTAGTTTAAGGAAAATAAGATAAGTATTAAGTTACACACATTTTTTTTAGACAAATTTTTAAAATATTTATAAAACCCCAAAGTCATACACAAAACTTATATGTATATAAATATAGAAATATATAATTGCTCCTAAAAACAAAACAAAACCAAGCTTGAAAACATTTTTGGATTTTTCAAAAACAATTATTTCCAATTGTTTAAAATTTAAGAAGCTTAAAAATTAATCAAATCGTGGGGGGTCAAAATTGGATGTCAACACAAATAACAACTCTCTCTAAATAATAAAAATTGTAAGCTAATTTATTTAAATAAATTTACTGGTACAAATATAAAACATAAAACACAAAAAATAAACAAAATCGTTAAAAGGATTTGAGGGGTATATCTTTACATAGATTAATACCATGGTATTAAATTATATGTATTCTTAATATCATGAACTGTAAGGTATTAGTTAGACATTCTATACCATGTTGGGTGTATAACTAATCCTTGAATTATTTGTACATAAAAAAAATATTAAAATGAGTTCGAGAAAATATATTTTTTTAGACTGTGATCATTAAAGAAGATTTATGGTTTGCCATAATTGGAAAATTTACTTATTGCTCATTAGAACTAGAAGAGATTCGTAAAATTAGTCTTTTACGGTGTGAGATTCAAGGCTGAGTGTAAGGTAGGATTCTTGAGTGATAGACACATCCTAATTCGCCTAACCACTATGTAAGATTACGTACATGTCATGTAAAAGCCAACATATTTTTGAAGGCTAAAGAAAGGTATACTATCAAATGCACTCTAAATTAAAGTGGGAACCCTAGTTCAACCTAGAGGCGGAAACTTCTACTGCCTTTACGTGGATCTCTCTTCCATCCTTATCACCTAATTTTTTTCATTAAAGAATCCTTGTTTACGATGGTCAAAGCAGTGGGAAAACCGTTGCATGCTGACATGGCTACAATAAGAAAATCTAGACCTAGTTGTGTCAAGGTAAAAGTTGAAGTCGACTTATTGAAAGAATTTCCCAAATGGATCAATGTTGGAGTTAAGAAGACATCTTCTGGGGAAATCATCTCAACATGGATAAAAATCTTACACGATTACAATATTGCAAATATTGCAGACTTAAAGACGGAGGCATGATTTATGTCGAAGGGGTTCAAAAAGATAAGTAAGCATACTAGTAGTATTCACAAATGAGTGAAGTGGGGCGGGTCAAATATAAACGGGTCGGATTCGATATAGGCAACTAAATAAAATTCAACTCTACTTGAACACAAACAATAAAATTGAGGATGTATGTGTATCACCCCAAAAAATTTTAAGTCAAGACCCGAACTATTCTTCATTTACTTGTAGGGTCATATCAGGTGGTTCTTAAATTATCCATATGTGTAAAGGTAAATTCTTTAGTGTGAGAATGATTTTGGATATCAATTAAGGTCACTAGAAACTCCTACCACAAAGTTGAGTTGAAAGTTTCCTTACTGATTAAGTTTTGAGGTTAGATTGTCTTTGGGTCAACTTCAAATGACCATATCTCTTAGAATATAAAGAGTTACATGGCCTATCATAACCTATCAAATTAAAGGTGTCTGGATTTTCTTTCCAATGCCACCAATTTCACAACTAAATTACCTACGGATTTTTTGAAATTCGCAAGTACTAATTACCTACGAAGCTTTTTCCATCAAATTTTAATTGGCCAAGAAATTTGCAGGTAATCAAATTACTTGGGAATTTTACTGTATTATCCCTATGAAAATCCCCAGATCAGCACTTTTCTTGTAGTGTGTGTCATGGCTTTGTTGAGGATATTATAGTGACAACATTAATATAATAAAAATAAGCTTTCAAGGGATTAATGAATTCATTCGTGTGACTAATTAGTTTGCAATTGATCCAGCGCAAGCATCCAAGTATATTTGTTGAAATTATTTATGATTTAGTAAAGGGTAAAAAATATCCTTAATTATGTAAAATTGAATAAAAATGCCATTGCTTAATAGTTTCATTTAAAAGTACCTTTATAGTTAAAAAAAGAAGAAGGGAAGTTTAAAGATGATACTCATCCATAAGACCATAACTAGGGACTAGCACAACATATTCATCCCACAATTTTCTTTTCTTATGCTAGAGAAATAGGCAATGTCTGCTTAAGTTGTTTTTATTGAGCAAAAGTGACAAAAATTAGATTAATAATTAATGAGTTGAAATTCATCTTGACTTGTTCTTAACTTTTTTTCTTTCCTATTTTTTAGATAGGTATCAAAAACTCACCTAAACTATCTCATTTTTTTTTAGAGTGTGAGTTTTATACCTAAACTACCACTTATTAGTTTGAGAAACACACCCCTCTCTTTTATTACATTCTCTTCATGGTGTGTGTACCATACTCTCTCTTTTATTTTAAAAAAATTGTCACATCACACTCCACATGGACAAAACATTTCAGCTTGACAAAAATTAAACAAATTATTAGCTTAGTTAAAATTAAGGATTAAAGAATTATTAACCCAAAATAATAATATTTTTTTATAAAATAAAATGTAAAATATTTTTCTTACCCCACGCCATCACTTCCTCTCACCGTACCCTCCTCCCCCCGCCATTTTTCAGTTTTTTTTGTTTAAATTTCTTTTACAAAAGTATTTAATTTTTTTTTACTTCATTTCTCTCTCTCCCTCAAATTAGATATTATATTATTTTTTTAATATAAATATAATACTATTAATTATTTTTTTGGAATGAGTGGGTGGTTTGGGTGGGGGGTGAGGTGAAGTATGATTTAAAAAAAATATTTTATAAAAGAAATTTTAAAAAATAAAGGGAGACATGGGATGTACGCGGGGGGGGGGGGGAGGTGGTACTTTTTGAAAAAAAATATTTTTTTTGGGGATATTAATACTTTAATCTTTATTTTTAACCAATATTAATAGTTTATTATTTAATTTTTGTCAAGGTAAACTAATTTATCCATGTGGAATGTCATTGGTCAATGTTTTTGCAAATAAAAGAGAGTGTATTATACACACCACTGAGGTGTGTTTCTCAAACGGATAAGTGATAGTTTAGGCATGAAACTCACACTCCTAATTATTTAGGTATGAAACTCAAAAAAAGTATATAGTTTAGGTGTGTTTTTGATACTTTATCTCTTTTTAAGAAAAAATAATCATTTAGATCCATGTTATACAAAATTCTAATTATCTATAATAGGGGGTGAAACAAAGTGGGAACAACCACTGCGATAGTCGATTTTGGCGTAAAAATATATCAATCAATTCATGCCCATAATAAAATCAAAGTATAGCATCTCTAGTTCTATCAAGTCTATATGGGTCTAACGACCAACAATCTCTACTATACAACCTCAGTAAAGCCACTTGGAAATGAAAGAGTCACCAACTAGAGTAGATATTGTTGGGTTTGAAAGAATCAAAGCGTCATGCGGAAGCTTACAATTGCAATCATGCCCATAATAAAATCAAAGTATAGCATCTCTAGTTCTATCAAGTCTATATGGGTCTAACGACCAACAATCTCTACTATACAACCTCAGTAAAGCCACTTGGAAATGAAAGAGTCACCAACTAGAGTAGATATTGTTGGGTTTGAAAGAATCAAAGCGTCATGCGGAAGCTTACAATTGCAAATAATATCGGGGATAAATTATATGATGAAAACTTACTAAAAATGAAAATATTATTATATGATTTGGCCAATTAGCCTACATATTTACTGGATACTGGGATTAAGATTTTGCTGGATGTGTTGACATTAGAAAGTCCACATTTGGTTACTTGTTCCAATTAGCTGAAGGAGCAATATCGTGGAAGAGTGCTAATCAATCTGTCATTGCTACATCCAAAATGGAAGAAGATTTTGTGACATGTTATGTAACCACAATTCATGCATTATGGCATTTCAGGACTTGGGGTTGTCGACACCATTACCAAGCCACTAAAAATTTATTGTGATAATGCATCAATATTCTTTTCCAAGAACGATAAGTATTCCAAATGTGTCAAACATATGGAATTCAAGTAGTTTATTGTCAAGGAAGAAGTTCAGAAACAAAGAGTGTTACTTGAGAATATTAGAATTGATCTCATGATTGCAAATCCGTTAATAAAGGTCTTAAAATCAAAGTCATTTAAAGAACATGTTCAAAGAATGGGTCTTGGTTGTACTTATGATTGATACATTTATGATGTTTTTACACTTTGAGCTCAATTATGTTTTTCTGATATATAGTAATGAATTTCTTGATTCTCATAATAGTGTATATATTATTGTTTTGAGATATTACAAGACAAGTCTCTATGAGACATTATTGTGGACCATAATGTTATATGTTTTATAGCTTATGAACCTAGTATGATAATTTGCTAATGCAGTAGTATATGGAAGGAAGTATGTAGCTTAAAATTTACGTACAACCGCCATAACTCACATTAGTAGTTTGTTATATTGTGGTATGTATGATGAACATTATAGAAGACATTTATTGTATGCACAACTAATGTTTATGAAATATTAATGTTATATGGTCATTGGGCCAAGTGGGGGAATGTAAGAATTATTTCTTACTTGTGACCCAAGTTTACTTGTGGCCTAAGTTTACTTGTAGGCCAAGTTTACTTGTAGC